CCTCACTTACAACCAAATTACAACTTTATTGTGTAACCTCACTTACAACCAAATTACAACTTTATTGTGTAACCTCACTTACAACCAAATTACAACTCCATTGTGTAACCTCACTTACAACCAAATTACAACTTTATTGTGTAACCTCACTTACAACCAAATTACAACTTTATTGTGTAACCTCACTTACAACCAAATTACAACTTTATTGTGTAACCTCACTTACAACCAAATTACAACTTTATTGTGTAACCTCACTTACAACCAAATTACAACTTTATTGTGTAACCTCACTTACAACCAAATTACAACTTTATTGTGTAACCTCACTTACAACCAAATTACAACTTTATAGTGTAACCTCACTTAAAACCAAATTACAACTCCATTGTGTAACCTCACTTACAACCAAATTACAACTTTATAGTGTAACCTCACTTACAACCAAATTACAACTTTATAGTGTAACCTCACTTACAACCAAATTACAACTTTATTGTGTAAACTCACTTACAACCAAATTACAACTTTATTGTGTAAACTCACTTACAACCAAATTACAACTTTATTGTGTAAACTCACTTACAACCAAATTACAACTCTATTGTGTAACCTCACTTACAACCAAATTACAAATTTATTGTGTAAACTCACTTACAACCAAATTACAACTCTATTGTGTAAACTCACTTACAACCAAATTACAACTTTATTGTGTAACCTCACTTACAACCAAATTACAACTTTATTGTGTAAACTCACTTACAACCAAATTACAACTTTATTGTGTAAACTCACTTACAACCAAATTACAACTTTATAGTGTAACCCCACTTACAACCAAATTACAACTTTATAGTGTAAACTCACTTACAACCAAATTACAACTTTATGGAGTAACCTCACTTACAACCAAATTACAACTTTATTGTGTAACCTCACTTACAACCAAATTACAACTTTATAGTGTAAACTCACTTACAACCAAATTACAACTTTATTGTGTAAACTCACTTACAACCAAATTACAACTTTATAGTGTAACCCCACTTACAACCAAATTACAACTTTATAGTGTAACCTCACTCACAACCAAATTACAACTTTATTGTGTAAACTCACTTACACCAAATTACAACTTTATAGTGTAACCTCACTTACAACCAAATTACAACTCCATTGTGTAACCTCACTTACAACCAAATTACAACTTTATTGTGTAACCTCACTTACAACCAAATTACAACTTTATTGTGTAACCTCACTTACAACCAAATTACAACTTTATAGTGTAACCTCACATACAACCAAATTACAACTTTATTGTGTAACCTCACTTACAACCAAATTACAGAACATATGTCACTTTCGTTTGTTTTGTGCTTTTGCCAATTAGACAAAGAAAGAGACTAGCTGATTTGATAGGAAACTTGAATACATGCAGTTCATGGCGAATTTAACACTGGACGAAAATGAATCACGTATTTTGTTCTTAGAATATGAAGGAATATTACGGAAACGTATTCACATTTTTCAAAAAGACATCAGATAAACAGAAATTTATAATTCTAAGAAACTGCATGTAATGCCGAGCACGTTTGTAAGAACTTACACTGCTAAATAATAGACAGTTTAGTCATATATATTTTGTATACAACGACACGGACTTTGTTTAAATCTCATTAATGATGAACCTGGGAAACTACATGTAAAATAGTCAAAACAAATTAAATATAGTTATCGTTTACCGATATCAAGTTAATTGCAACGATATCACTTATCTAATGTTACTTCAACCGAGCTGTGTAAAGCTCAACTGAACCAGGATCTTGTTTCACGTGTACAGCACAGACTTGTTATTATAAAACATGCTCTATGATTAATTTGTGTGGTGTGTTTTAGATCTGCTTGTTACAGGTCATTTTTATTTAGAAAACAAGTTTATGTAAACACGACAAAGAGAATAGGTAATACAATACCTGATGGAATAAAAACATTTATAACCATCGACAAATTTGATTACGTAATGAGATCGTGATCACGGAAGGTATACATCATTACCTCTACCATAAACATTGGTAATTAGTCGTTATGTTGTACACGTGGAATAAAACAACCAACATCAACCCGTCAATAGATAGACCAACAAGACATGGACAACAACAGGAACTGATGTGTCGACATATCAAGGAAAAGACAACAACAGGAACTGATGTGTCGACATATCAAGGAAAAGACAACAACAGGAACTGATGTGTCGACATATCAAGGAAAAGACAACAACAGGAACTGATGTGTCGACATATCAAGGAAAAGACAACAGGAACTGATCTTTGTAGACAACCAAAGGCAACATTGTTTTTAAAAGTATTAAATTAAAGGAAAGAAATTTTCAACCTTGAATTCACGCCTCGTCGTATTTAAAAAAGCCAGTAAACATCCGCACGTTTAATCAGCCGGTAAACTGATAGTGAGGTTCGAACTTTTGTCATCATGTGGTGTCACCGGAGGATATTTGGCGCGAGAACAGACTCCTGATATTCATGTGTAAATATACACTACAAATTTCTTTTCTTGTTCCAAATTCCAGACCCTTATCTTCTCAGTGGATGTTTGCTGTACAGTATGCACAAGGTTATGTTCAATTGAATACCTCAGGCCTTTCCACCAAGCGTTTAAAAACGTTCATATCAAGAGAATTGTCTTTTTTACATAAATGAATCGATAATATGTTAAAACGAGGCTACCACTTTTGTGAAATCTAACAATATTTTTGTTTTATTAACAAAAAAAGTTCATGACACATAACGATAGATAAATAAACAAACAAACAAATAGATGAATAAATAAATAAATATTTCGGATGTAGCGAAAAAGTGTTTCCCGACAATCACTTAATCTATTTAGGATAACAATAAATGCATTTCAATGATTGTTGTCTTACAATAACATGAACATCGTAAGGTCACTCCAACTTCACTCATTATGAAAGATCAAATGTGACAATTATTATAACAATTTTTTGTACGATTACGTCACTTCCTTGACTGTTAAGGCACGGTTATGTCAAGCCGAGTGAGACTGACAACTTTTCATGTGTGGAAATCTGTGATCGAAATCACCGTTACTATATACAGAAAATTGGTTTTACAATAAAATGCGTTGTGCGAATTCATTAAGGCCTGTCATATAACAATCTTATATCACAGAACGTTCTCTCTGATACTTATCGCAATATGTAGGATTTCAGAGTTCAAAGATCGAGATAACGGTTACTATAAATAGAAAAATAATTTCGGGTGAAAGAGACTACAAAATAGTTCTTTACAAAAGTGAGAGTCGGATTTTTTTACCTCCAATCCACATTTCTTAAACTTTGTATGTGTCTATTAGCCACACGACCGACACATTTGTAAGCGTCTGTTGGCCACACGACCGACACATTTGGAAACGTCTGTTGGCCACACGGCTGACAAATTTGTATCTGTCTGTTAGCCACACGGCCGACACATTTGTAAGCGTCTGTTGGCCACACGGCCGACAAATTTGTATGTGTCTGTTAGCCACACGGCCGACACATTTGTAAGCGTCTGTTGGCCACACGGCCGACACATTTGTATGTGTCTGTTAGCCACACGGCCGACACATTTGTATGTGTCTGTTAGGCACACGGCCGACACATTTGTAAGCGTCTGTTGGCCACACGGCCGACACATTTGTAAGTGTCTGTTGGCCACACGGCCGACACATTTGTAAGCGTCTGTTGGCCGCACGGCCGACACATTTGTAAGTGTCTGTTGGCCACACTGCCGACACATTTGTAAGCGTCTGTTGGCCACACGGCCGACACATTTGAATGTGTCTATTCTGATTTCTCGTTATATTGATTTTGAGCTGCTTGCTGTTCTGTTGACACCGTGGTATATAAGAGTTATTTTTCAACATGTCACACTTTGATAAACACAATACAACTTTCACGCTGAGAGTAAAATACTTTAACACTGTAAAACGTGACCAAAAACGTTGACGCATAAAACAGATTAAATTTACTGAAAATCAACTACAAATAACATTTCTATTTAAACAGATTTGGACCGTATTGTTTACAGCAGAGGGCGGTGACATGATTACAACATATACGCAAACACAGTTCTATCAACTTAATTTGAAAAATTAAAAATAAGTTTTGAAAAGAATGCTTATCATATTGATATTGTGCTTTTCATGTTTTTTTTTTAAATTGTAATGGGTGTATTTAGAAGTGATCTAAAAAAACCGAGGTCGATAAAAATTGTCAGTATAGAAAATATGTATATATATATATGACAGTTATCATATTGTCAAGCTGACAATACAATAAAATCTGTTTGACGCGACACGTTGTTGTATCATAGAATGACGTAAGTCTTAACGGTACACATGATAATTACATTTACCTATTGTTGGTAACATTTATGACATGAGATGTTTCCATCACAGCTGTCCCGTGTATAGAGACCAGCTTATCTCAATCCGCGCAAGTAAAGAACCACCAATCAAAACGTCGAAATCTCATCGCAACATCTCGCAGAAATCCGACAAACATCGGGAGTTAATTTCCAAAGACTACAACAAATTTCCGTTACGAAAAGATGAATCCTTGATGAAAAGGCGCGAAAACTGATGAAACCGGAAGTAGATTGCTTGATTGAAAGGAAACCGACAACGTGCTCAGGAATTTGATTAATGAACCATGTACATATTGATATAGTCGTAGGGAGACAGATTAATATAACAGAAAGTTGACACTGATGAACCGGAAGTATGCACATTATACGATAGTATAACGATAAAGCATGGTAAAACCAGGAGTCTACAGAATTTATACTGATGAATTCGAAAGTAGATAATATTGGTAGAAATCGGACACCGACACCACAATATCGGCTGATTTATCACACAAGAAGTCGGCAAATGGACCAACCTAAACGTTTATGATATAAAAATGATGATATAAAAAGAGATGATTCAGGAAGTGAACACGGTGATGACACAGGAAGTGAACACGGTGATGATCCAGGAAGTGAACACGATAATGACACTAGAAGTAAACACGGTGATGACACAGGTAGTGAACACGGTGATGACACAGGAAGTGAACACGATGATGACACTAGAAGTGAACATGGTGATGACAAAGGAAGTGAACACGATGATGACACTAGAAGTGAACACGGTGATGACAAAGGAAGTGAACACGGTGATGACACAGGAAGTGAACACAGTGATGACAAAGGAAGTGAACACGGTGATGACACAGGAAGTGAACACGTTGATGACACAGGAAGTGAACACGGTGATGACAAAGGAAGTGAACATGGTGATGACACAGAAAGTGAACACGGTGATGACACAGGAAGTTAACACGGTGATGACAAAGGAAGTGAACATGGTGATGACACAGGAAGTGAACACGGTGATGACAAAGGAAATGAATACAGTGATGACAAGTTTAATGATTAATTGAGTTCATGTGCTCGATATTGATTTTGTTATAGAAGAAATGAAGCGCGTTTTAATATTTACCTCTCGGATAAGTTAATGAAACTATATTATAATAATTTTAAAAAGTGCGAAAGCTCTGAAATACCAATATGCGAACGAGATGTTGTATGAAGCAACATTTTGACTTTAGACTGGAACGCTGGAGTGATGTGGTATTCAGAAGTTGCTTCTTCAAAGTATTACTAATGTGTCTTAACTTCCGATACAAACTGTAAGTGATACTGAATTCGACTATATGCTGTAAAAGTTTTGATTTCGATTTAAGTGTCAGTGAACATCCCTATGTGTCAGTTAGTTGTCGTCTAATCAAGGGGCCAACTCGAGCAAAATGTTGAGGTCAAGTTTTTTAAATGTGTGCATGTGGGAGATTGATAGGCCAAAGGTCATTGCAGGAAATCGAACGAAAGAAAATGTTCTTGTGGGATTCGGTGAACCTTTTTGGTGGACAATTGAATCACAGAGCGCTCCGGGCGACCAGTAAAATTGAAAATTTATTTCTCTACCGTTCATTGAAGTAGTACTACGATGTACGTCTAATTAAAACACCTGCTTCACAGAAATAATTGCTAATTATCATCAGAACCACTATTTCTGTAATTAACCACAAACTCCGTGTATTCGTGATTTCCTTGTGGTATTTAACGGGATCTGCACACGTTCTCTCTGAATTTTACATCAAATGCCATACAGGTCATAAAGAAGCCATCAAGGCTGGAGATGACAGAGAGATCGCTTTTAATCATCAATCGGCCTCCTGTGTATTTGTCTAACGCACTGAAATGGCGTAATAAACTTCCAGGTTTCTCCCGTAATTTACTATTATGCACAGTTTTAAAAGGCAGAATTTCACATGTATCTTGGCGTGTGAGGCAATGGCATAATGCATTGTGAAAAAAAAGAAAAAACGAAAATACACACAAAAAAAAAGCAGTTATACACACACCAAAGAAAAAGATGATTTCGAAAACCCCACACACGCAAAGAAGACAAAGACAACGGAAAACGTATTTACATTTAGTGGTCCTGCTGTTTCACTACATTAACAATAACTGATTTTGACAGTACTTTTTGTCAATAAAAAAATAAACTGATATTATAGTAAAGAAATTAAAGAGGAAAAATACACAACTGACTCAATAAAAATGAAAACTTTGGGTCGAATGTTAACATTTAGCTGAAGAAATTACAACAATAATCAATATCAATAATTACAACGAACCTCGAACCTCGAACTTCCAATCACAAACAAAAACCACGAACCTCGAACCTCGAACCACGAACCTCCAATCACAAACAACAACCACTAACTTTGAACCACGAACCTCCAATCACAAACAACAACCACTAACCTTGAACAACGAACCACAACCACTAACCTTGAACCACGAACCTAGAACTACTAACCTTGAACTACGAACCACAACCACTAACCTTGAACCAAGAACCACAACCACTAACTTTGAACTACGAACTTCCAATCACAAACAACAACCACTAACCTTGAACCACGAACCATAACAACTAGCCTTGAACCACGAACCTAGAACCAGTAACATCGAACCACGATTCAAGAACCTCGAACTATGAACTACGAAACACGAACTACGAACCCCGAACCACGGACAATGAACAGCGAACCACGAACAACAAACTTTGAACATCGAACCACGAATTTTGAACCACGAACCTTGAACTACGAACCACGAACTACGAACCACGAACCACGAACTACGAACCCCGAACTTTGAACTTCGAACCCCGAACATGTAGAGTAACCTTCATGCAAAATATGTACAATAACATTGCTTATCATTAACACTATGTATACGTTCCTTCCGCTGTCTGTAACATTGTGTCACGTGGTACCACTAACTTACGTATACAACAACAGACTCTCAATCTGACGTAATAAGGCAGGACTGAACATTACTCAAGATGTAAGGAAGTGATTTTTCTATCATCATACAAATAGAGCGAATGTTGGGTGTTTTGAAAAGACAAAACATGATGATACACTTCTGTGATATCTATTACATACTTCAGAAATCAGGCTGAAGGCAAAACAAAATAAACCAAGCATGTATCAGAAAAATGGTCATTGTTCCAAACTAAAACATCAGAATATTAGAGATTCTGACCTGACAGTATACAATACAGCCATTAGTTTTCGTCCATCGTCGTTCTATCCGCCGTCCGTCAGTCCGTCCGTAAACTTGTAACATGTCAAACTTTTTCTCAGGTTTCACCAGAGGGATTGCTGAAGTGAAACTTTCCTGGAATGATACTGACATAATCTTGACCGAGTAATATGTATTTTCCTGGTCGGTCTGAAATCAAATATGTCCGCAATGACCACCATCTTGGAAAAAACACGTTTATCTTCTTCTCAAGTGCCACATTGAAATGAACATTAACATTGGTAAGTTAAGGAAGAATTAAGTTCCACAATTGATACTGTACTGAAACGTTCCTGAAATTAGTTTTCTTTCATTGTCATGTTTACGATTTTCTAGATTTTGCTCGTCCTTTCGTTTTAGTGTCTCAACATTTGGTCTCGATGTTCTAGGTTTTGCTCGTCCTTGCGTTTTGGTGTCTCAACATTTGGTCTCGATGTTCTAGGTTTTGCTCGTCCTTGCGTTTTGGTGTCTCAACATTTGGTCTCGATGTTCTAGGTTTTGCTCGTCCTTTCGTTTTGGTGTCTCAACATTTGGTCTCGATGACCTAGATTTTGCTCGTCCTTTCGTTTTGGTGTCTCAACATTTGTTCTCGGTGTTTTTCGTTTTTTGTTTTTTTGTTTTGCTCTTCGTTTCGTTTTCGTTTTTTTGTTCCCACTGTAATTCTTTCACTTTGCACCTCCTCTGTTTTTGTCTTTTGTGCTGACGTCACGACAACCGAACTGTTTGTCGTTATTGTGGTCTGTTTATGTTAAACAAAAATGAAGGCTGTAGAAAAGCTTCAACCAGAAAGGAAAAATGCTTTTCAATATGAAAATAAAAAATAACCAGGAAATGTAATTCGTGTTCTATTCTGAAGATCAAACTATTGACATTTGACGTATCTTTATAAATACAATATACATTTATAATTTCGCTAACATGTAGATCTAACTGCTCGAGTGTAGGGCGTGAACCTTTTACGTCAGTAGTTGATGACATTAACGACTGAATAGATAACCTTGACGTCACGTGACAAAAAAGTTCCTAACAAAATACAATCCAATTAGTATTGATACAAGAGCGGCGAGTCACGCACGTCCGTCCGTGTCGTGTAATGTAGGTCATTTAAGTATACATATTTAATCATATGTAGTCTAGTCTTTCCTCCTGTGGATGACAACACGAAAGATATCATTCCCCTGTGATGTATCAGACGAAATTGTGTCACGTGATTTGAGAAAATTACAATTGTTCTTTATTTTTGCAATTCAATCAATCTATTAAGTCATGTGTTAATATAATACATACATAATTAATTGTCTAACCTTGAATCAAAGAAATAAAAACGTAAAACGTTCTGTAAAATAGACATTTTTAGTTAAATTTAATATTTCAGAGATACAGCAGTTTTTAAAAACAGAGTAAGCACACTTAATTACTAAGGCAAGGTAAAACAGACAGAAGAGGTGAATCCGAAGAAAAGACCCTTGATTGAGTCTCTTTATTGTGGTGTGAGATTGTTGGTGGAGGGGCTTGGGTGTAGGGTAAGAGGTAGTAGTTAGAGGTAGGGGCTTGAGTGTAGTGTTAGAGGTAGGGTTAGGGTGTAGGGTTAGAGGTAGGGGTTGGGGGTTTGGGGTTTTAGAGGAAAGGGTTTGGGGTTTGAGGTTTTAGAGGTAGGGGTGTGGGGTTGGGGTTTAGGGTTTGGGGTGGGGGGTTTGGGATTTGGGGTCGGGGGTTAAAGTTAGGGGTTGGGGTGTGGGGTTGGGGTGTGGGGTCGGAGGTAAGGGTTTGGGATCGAGGTTAGAGGTAGGGGTTGGGGTGTGGGGCTGGGGTGTGGGGTTGGGGGTTTGGGGTCAGGTTTTAGAGGTAGGTTTTGGGGGTTCGGGTTGGGTGTAAGAGGTAATGGTTTGGGATCGGGGATTTGAGTTAGGGATTGAGGATGTGGAGTTTGAGTTTGAATGACGGAAGGGAGTAACAGAATTCCAAATTCATGTATCAGCGTAAAACTAAACTGGTATATAGAATGTGAACTTGTATAGAGACAGTGAACTAGAATAGAGACAGTGAACTAGAATAGAGACAGTGAACCAGTATATAGACAGTGTACCAGTATATAGACAGTGTACCAGAATAGAGATAGTGAACCAGAATAGAGACAGTGAACCAGGATAGAGACATTAAACCAGTATATAGACAGTGAACTTGAATAGAGACAGTGAACCAGAATAGAGACAGTGCACCAGTATATAGACAGTGTACCAGTATATAGACAGTGTACCAGAATATAGATAGTGTACCAGTATATAGGCAGTGAACGAGAATAGAGACAGTGAACCAAAATAGAGACAGTGAACGAGAATAGAGACAGTGAACCAGAATAGAAACAGTGAACCAGAATATAGACAGAGAACTGAAATAAAGATAGTAAACCAGTATATAGACAGTGAACTAGAATAGAAACAGTGAACCAGAATAGAGACAGTGAACCAGAATAGAAACATTGAAAGAGAATAGAGACAGTGAATCAGTATATAGACAGTGAACCAGAATAGAGAAAGTAAACCAGAACAGGGACAGTGAACCAGAATAGAGACAGTGAACCAGAATAGAAACAGTGAACCAGTATATAGACAGTGAACCAGAATAGAAACAGGGAACCAGAATAAAGACAGTGAATCAGTATATAGACAGTGAACCAGTATA